TATCCAGCAACATTGTTGTGAGGACTCTGGCTCTTTTTCCAGAACTTCTCCTTGCGGGTTGTCTCGCGTGTGGCATTTGTCACCTTCTAGAGCACTAAGGTGGTTCCTGCCACCCCTGAGGCCGCCGCACAAGGAAGCCACCAAGGATGGCGCGATGGAGAGCGCTCCTCTGCTGCTCGCGTCTTGGGTGCTGCCCCTGCCCTCGCGTCGTGTCCTGCAGCCCCTCAAGCGGCTCCGGACAAGAGCGTTGCCRGAAACCACCTGCTGGCTGCAGCATCTCGAGCGAATTTGGCCCTCTTGGCTGCTGCATCACTCCTAAATTTACAGAGCTARTTCTTCCCAGAGCTCTCCACCACCACGGATCAGGTCTAGCGCTTTCTTGCTCCCCGAACCTCTTTCTTTGTCTTTCTGGTGCGGTTTGCAGCCCGGCTCCGTTGTGGTTCAGCTGGATTGAGAGCTGCAAAGACCCGAGCCCGAAACTCCCGGGAGAGGGCTCTGGAAGCAAGAAAGCCTGGGGAAAACCGTTCTTGGAGCCATTGCCTTTTGATAAGCGGTCGACAGAATTCCCAGTAGTTCCTTTGTAGCTTACTGTATGTTTTTCATTAGACCTAGTTTGTGGATAATATACTGTAGTTAACTTTCCTGAAATTCTGTAACAGAGTATGTTTTTGATTAAAAAAGGTAAAGATTCAAGGCTTTGGCGTCTCTGTTTTGTTCACAGCGCTGGCGATGCCGGCAGGGCTCTCCCGGCACCAGCGCAGCTCCCGGATAAATGGAGCCCTCTCATTTATTATCAGCTGGTATCAAATCCCAGCGCGGGTCCCGGTGCAGGGGATGCCCTGCGGGGCTGCGTTTTATATGGAGTTCTGTTTAAACCCTTCTTGGCAAAACAGTTGCGCTGTTGGCAGTATTTTTGCTGCTTTCTGCATGCGCAAACCCTGTAGAAATCCGGTTTCTGCTGATGCCAGGTGAGTTTCTCACAGTCTAGGTGCTGCAGCTCATGGCCCTTAAATGCCAGACAGTTAAATGAAGCTGAGCTTAAGCTGCGGGGAGGGACCACTGAAGAAGATATATTTTTTTCCTTTTTTTTAATGATGCAAAATTTAAATGTTAAAAGAAGATTTGTGACACTTTAGCCAGGGAGGAGAGGGCACCTCCAGCTTGGTCCCACCAGGGGCTCTGTGTGTGTGTGTGTKKRGGGGGGGTCTTTTCTTCCCCCGGGGGTTTTGGGCCACGGAGCTCCAGGGCAGCAGCTTYTCTCCAGGCTGGGGCAGTAGCTACTGATGCCACCCAAAAACCCCCAAAGCACCAAGTGTTGCTTTGGGGAGCTGGGCTGGGCGAGGTAGCTGAACACACAGCGCTTTGCAAGGCTGCCTCCCAGAAACGGGAAAAAAAAGGAGCATTAAGCACAAAAGAGAGTGTTTTTTTTTTTTTTCTTTAAATAAATAATAAAAAAAAAACCCTCCACTTGCACACATTTTGGTCCCCTATTGCCAACTCCCAAGCTATGCCTAACATCATGGGAAAGTACGGGCTCTGTTTATAGCTGAGCAAAACATTTTAACCCTGGCTTATTTTCAGGGACCGTCACGAGCCTCGGAGCCCGCGGCCGGCAGCGCTKCCCAAGGCGGCAGCCCAGCGAGAGCTGCAAAATGAGAAATTCAAAACAATCTTTTTAAGGTGCTGCCTTCATCACTAAGCCAGCGGGCAAACCCCCAGAGTGGAAGCAACTCRAGTCCAAGCTGCACAGCAAGCGAGGGGGAGGGGAAAAAAAAAAAMAWYMMCMMCYKRWTTWWTTKKWARKTTTYMMYTTT